GTGCTGAAACTTCTATATATGGAACAGTCATTTTGTTAATAAATCAATTTCTCCGTCTCTCTTGTCTCACAGACTCTCCACCTGAGAAAACAGGGCGGAGACGTAGCATGCCAGGCTCCACCCCTGACAAAGCCCCACCTACAATGGAGCCCACTGCCACTGCTGCTACACCCTTCAGGGTCACAGTGAGTATTATATGTGTGTCTGATCAAACACAGTCTGGAATCCAGATGTGATACATACTTTGCCCACATATATCTTATCTTTATTGCTGCTACTACTTCAGATCTTTAGTATTAAAATTCTGCAGTACTAATAAACGTTAGCTTGCAAGTCATTTTGTCAAATGCTAATTTCCTACTTGAGGCTATAAATGTGAGCAGTGGTGGTGTTTTATTAATATTTTAAGTAATTAAAAAGCAAAAATCCAGTGCAACATAATGTTAAGCCTAATAACCAAGCAGCTGAAACTCAAGATGGTGATCCAGCCCAAAACCACATACCAAGCCTAATATTGGAAGTATTAAGTTGAAGTCTGGATCAAAGCTACATTTATAGGCTAGATTATACATCAGGATATTACATACAAATTAATTCCGAACAAGCTCCATTTGAAGAGAATGTTTTATTGATGGGCATCAGGGAAGATTTAACAACGTTCGAATGCTCACTATAATTGGTATGAAGTTGTAATGATATGTTTATGAGCGTGAGCTCTATTAGCAAGGGATGAAAAAACTTCTCATGATTGAAAAGCAGTCTGTTAGCAATCGTTTCAAATTGAAGCTCACATTATGTGCCGGTTGCGGAAGTAAATCATTAGCAGTCAACAGCAGGTGGTATTCAGTAGTTTCACCCTCTGTATAAAATGCAGTGCATGTGGGCTTTTTATGTGTTTTTGCTGCTTAGCATTTACTGAATGTAGGTGTAATTACATTTAAATGAGATCTCTGAGGTGACTCGAGGGCCACTTGACCTCTGAGCTTCTGCAGATTCAGGCCCAATTACTCGTCTAGCCTATAGTGCATAGTTTGCAAATATCTCCTACGAAGTTAAAACATGATCTGAGAACACTTAAGTTCCATCACAAATCTTCTCAGTGCTGTACATGTTTGAATAGGTTCAAGGCACACAAAGGTAGCCTTAGATGTCATTGTTTTGGGTGAATGATGGAAGATGTCACATAGCTTGATTGTTAGGTAAGTCTATATGGACAATTAGGGAAGTAAAGATAATCCCCCTGCACCCCCCGCTGGTAGGCAGTGGTACTGTACCTTTCGGAATCAGGATCTCGTGCGATTTTTCTCCCCTCTCCCTCTCTATCCTACTTTTATCCTCCTCTGAACTCTTATTCTCTGTGCATGAATAACACCATCAATACCAGATGGACAGATGTATTGAATGACCTTGAAGATTCTTATATGAAAGAAATGGTGATCTAATTAATGTACATGTCAAGAAAGATGGATGAATAGTTTTGTTTTGTGAATGCAGTAGAAAACCCACTCTGTGAATTAATCGTTGCTGTGTGTGTGGTTAAGATGGAGTGTGGGAAAAGCACAAGAACACCATTTTCAGCAAAGTTTTCTGGTGTTTTTTTTTCTCTTTAATCGATTAGTTACTCAGCCTCAGGTTTGTTTTGTGTTAAACTGTATCTGACACTTTACTGGATGCCTGACATATGCAGTTGACTGAACTGACAAGGCATTGGGAAATCTATTTAAAGTTATACAGTATTATTTAGATATAGTCATATGAATAAGCTATTATTATTAAAAAAATGGCTTTAGGTAAATATTTCAGGTCATTTTCCATTGATTTGCTCCTGGCAGATTTTTGATATATAGGCTTTATTTAATTTCTGCCGCTTGCACCTAACCCAGGCTTTCTCATCTGCTTTCACATTAAGAAAAGGTGAAATGTGCTTCATAATTTTAGTCAAAGCATCCTTGTGGTTTAACGTAGAACTAAGGGTGACGGAGTCCTGCAAATATGTGTGCCCAAGGGCCTCATGGGACCACGATCCGGCCCTGGATTTTGACTGCCAACATCCATGACCTGTTTGACAGACCTGCTCGATAGTTGCTTATTAACATGACATTGCATACCATGACTGAATTATTTACTAGGGCTGCAGTGAACACTGTTTTGATAACCGATTTGATTATTTTTTTATTCAATCTGATTTATCACTGCATGTGTACGTGTGATATTGTGTGCAAAAAATAGTGTACACCAAGGTCCGTTTACACCAAGAAAGATAACTATACCGATAACTTTATTGGCGTCCACACCAAGGACGATAATGTTCTGTTTGTTATAAGAGTGTGTTGCAGTTATTTCATTTGCTGCTTTAATTGCTCAAGCTCATTAAGTCAGGTGGATTCTGATTGGCTATCAATGTTTTTATCATTCATCAGCTGGAAAAAAGTTCTGAAAGTGATTGCAACAATATTGTTGCTCTGTGTCGTTATTGTTGTGTTGTGGACTTTACTATTCTCATAGAATTAGAGCAATTATTTAAACTTTGTAGTTATAGTTATCGTCCTTGGTGTGAATGGCTCTTTGCAATAAAAGAGCAAGAGAGCAGTTTTTGTAAATACTGAAAAGGGGAAGAATGTTGTGCAGGAATGCACACATTCTTTCCCTGTATCAACACATTTCTGTCATCATATGACATTCTCCTGTAAAGTAATTGTGATTTCAATATGGTTAATTTAAAACCATAATTTAATGTTTAACAAAGAATATTGTTTTGATCCACATGATTGTGCTTCCTTGCTCTGTTTGATTGACATGGTCTGTGAAGCGGGTTTTTTTTTTTTTTTAAATAATGTTAATGACAACAGAGACATTTTTAATCTGATGTTTGCTATCACAACATATGCATTATAAGAACATAACATAAGAACATACAATAATGTGCTGCTTGTTAAGTTGAATGGATACTTTTATTCAGCAAGGATGCATTAAATTGATCAAAAGTGGCAGTAAAGACATTTACATTGTTACAAAAGATTTCTATTTGAAATAAATGCTTTTCTTTTCAAAGAATCCTAAAAAAAAGTTAAGGTTGCACAAGTGTTTTCAACATTAAAAATAATAAGAAATAGGGATGCACCGATACCACTTTTTCCAGTACTCGCCCGATACCGGCCGACCGAACTACAAACTTTCCAGTGATGTCTGTGAGAACGATACATTCACTTGACAAGCTCGCGCATCTGCGCCGCCGCACGCTCAATCCACTCAGCGCGCTTTGTTTATCAGCTTGCGCACATCAGCTATACAGGCGTTAATACTGAATGTTTAACGTTATATTCATTGCATACATTTTTAACGAGTATGAGTACGAGTACAGGAGACCAGTATCGGACCCGATACCGATACCAGTATCGGTATCGGTGCATCCCTAATAAGAAATGTTGAGCACCAAATCAGACTGTGAAGCATTCTGTGACACTGAAAGCTGAAGTGATGGCTGCTGAAAATTTTGCTTTGCTGTTACAGGAATAAATTACGTTTTAACATATTAAAATAGAAAACAGTTATTGTAAATTGTAACGATATTTTACAGTATTATGGTTTTTGCTGTATTTTTGATCAAATAAATGCAGTCTTGGTGAGCATAAGAGACTTCTTTATGTAAATGTAAAACATTAAAAAGTCTTACTGAGCCCAAACTTTGAATGGTAGTGTAAGATTATGTCCAAGTCAAAAAAAAAAAAAAAAGACTCTAAACTGCTGTTCTTCATAGAGCCACCAAAATACTACCATTTATTCTAGTCATTTATAACTAATACTAATAAACTGAAAATCAATTAATTTAGGAAATACCAGTCAAACTGATTATCAGTTTACTCTCGACTCTACAGTATTCAGAGCACTTGACAACCTGGCAACATGAAATTACAAACTCATAACCTTCTTTAAAGCAAGCTTTGAAGCTTACTGCATCAATATTTTTTGCAATTCATGTAATGTTTGGACAAGGGAGCTTGTTTATTATTCAGATGTCTTCTTGTCATTGTCTCTCTCAGTCCTCTTCTGATTTGATTTCCTTTTCTAGCGAACGGTAGGCTGCAATACTCTGACTGATTGCTCTGTGATTAAGAGATGTCTGTGTGTAATCATTTGCATATATTGTGAATAGTAATCAGTAGGGTGCTTTAATTATGTAGAATATGCAGATGTGTTAATCGGTAGGGGGGAACGGCCTGCTTTCTGTTTGTTTACTAACACTTTCTTGTCAGAAACTTCATGTCTGCTGACTCGCCTCTCTTTTCCTCCAGAAACTCTTTCCACACCTTTTCTCATTCTTTCTCCGTTGCGTTTCTCACTTTCTCACATTCTCGCTTTTTATCTCTACAATAGCAGCCTTACAGTGAGGATGAGTGGATCGTATTTTGTCCTTGACTCTCTTTCTTTTCTTACAATCCTTCACGTTCTTGCTTTCATTTTTTTTTCTTTTTCACTCTTTCTCACTTTATGCCTCCCTTTCCTTTCCATGCCCTTGATGCCAACCTGCTGTCTCCATGGTAACTGGTGCCTAAAGGAAGTTGAGTTTTGAGCTGCAAAAATGTGACGGGTGCTTTCACAGAAAAAGGGTGTATAATGTGGGGTAATTAACGAGTGAATGTATGAAATAGTGGTGAAAGATCAATATGAATCTGCCTGTTATTATTATAATGTCTGTCCTATTCTCTGTCATTTCCTCATTAGGGGTTTTTGAGTCGCAGGTTAAAGGGCTCAATAAAGCGGACTAAGAGTCAGCCTAAACTGGACAGGAACAGCAGTTTCAGACACATCCTACCAGGCTTCAGACTAGTGGACAACGACAGGTAAACAACAACAATTTTCCATCTTATTCCAAGTGTTTAATTTCTACACCACTAACGTCATCTAGAAGAACCTTCTCTATAGAGGATCTGTGTGTTTGGATAGTTTTAAACCAGTGGTTCTCAACCTTTTTGACTGCAATGAAAGCTTTTTCTGTAATGACATAGCTGCTTGTTTTCAAATATATAGGCATATTACAGAAACTAGTAGTGACAATATGTTAAAGTAATTCAATAAAAGACTTATAAATAATAACATTTTAGTTTTACAAGCTGAAGAATTTTTTTATGACTAATGAGTTTACTGCCAATTTATGCCAAATAAAATATTTTAGAGCCTGAGAGAACTAGAAAAAATAATATTTTAACAATTTAATTTAAAATTACATTTGCTGAAAGAACAAATTAAAATAATATGTCTTGATTTTTTTTCTTTGAACTTATGTCTCATTTTTACTCATTTTAAGCGTTTTTGCAGCCCACTTGGAAATGCTCCCTGGTTGAGAACTATTGTTTTAAACTAGTTAAAATGATCTTAAAAATAGCATTCAAATGTCATCTTTAATCTTTCAGTCACTGTCTTGACTGGAGATCAGTTGTTACAGTCATGGAACCATGTGTTATTGGAGACAATAAAAAGTTGGCAGTTGGTTCTGACCTATTTTAAAACTTTACTGGATGTGAATGGATATGTTGCTGTATGAGTGGCTGAATGAATATGGCAGTTGAGACTTAGTATAGATATTTTTGCATGTGTTTGCATTCTGTGTGCTAATTCCTATGGAATAGCACCATATGTAAATGTACGATTTTGCATTTCCTCATGTCCGTGCTGCATAATTTGCTGCACAGTAAACAATGACGTGTGTGTGTGTGTGTGTGTGTGTGTGTGTGTGTGGCCTGAAAGTTTGTGTGTCTGTTTGGCAGAATGGTTATTGAGGTCACTTTTGACATGCCTCTCTTGTCAGTGAAAACCGACAGAGCTTTGCAGTCCAATCTGTCATCTGCCTCTTTCTCGGAGATGCTCCTTCATGCATCTTCTCTTTCCCTTATCCCATAAATATCCCTCACTTTAAACAGACTGCAGCTGTGCTCTGCTCTTGAGTTTTTGCTCATTTCTAGCAAATTTCTGATTTGGAAACTTTCGCTATACTTTATTTTACCGTAAATGTAATACACTTACTGTTATGCTCACAATTTGCAGAACAATAACAGTTTGGTAGTGGTACTAGAAATAGACTGACGTGACAAATTTCAGGTCTAGCTGTTTATTCCTATTTTCTTTTCTAGTTTAAATCTTGAAAGTGGGCATTGAGTTATTGTGAGATGGGAGTCTGCTGTAGGACTAAATGTAAATCATATAGAGAAGTCAGGCTTCCAGGCAGGACAAGAATGCATCGATCGAAAGCCCACTGTCCAATAAACAATTAATAGCTTTTTTTCCCAGTGCAAACAGCAGTCATGATAGATGGCCAGTGAAGCACACTCTCCAAGCGGGACTCAAAATGAAACATTTGGATTCTCTTGTCCAGTGAACATTTATCTTTGCTCCTATTAAACATTTATATTTGGTGCTTTTAAATCCTATGGATTCCAGCAATGTCTACAGACAGATTCATGTGGCATTGCCGGGGTGCACATACATTTTTCAGCCTGGTTCTCATATGAGAACCTGGAGATTTGGTTTGGTCCTCACACGGCGGCACATGGTGTGACCCATCAAATATAACTATAAAAAATAAATTAATAATAGTGATAATATTATTACACTTTATTTAGTTTTTTTAAATAAAATAATAAACTAAATAATAAAGTGTGATAATACTATTTTATTTTAAAATAAAAAGGCAGTATTAAATACAAATACAATTATTTTATAGTAAACTTAAAAATAAAATGCTAATATTTTTTATTATTTTTATTATTATCATTATTATTATTTTAATTTGAACCTTAATTATTATTTTTAATTTGAATTATTTTCATTTTTCATTTTCAAACTTAAATAAAAAGCTTTTATTTTGGCAGGTTGCCGGCAAGTAAGTATATGCGCTTCCGGGTTTAGTGCTGCCGATTGTAGAGTGTCAGCGAATGAAATGTCACAGTTTTGCATTGTGCTTTGAAAATGTTAGCCTAGATTTATGCTTTCAGTTTGAATAGAAATCTTATATAGTATATTATTTTAATTTGAACCTTAATTATTATTTTTAATTTGAATTATTTTCATTTTTCATTTTCAAACTTAAAATCAGCAGGCTTTTATTTTGGCGGGTTGCCGGCAAGTAAGTATATGCGCTTCCGGGTTTAGCGCTGCCGATTGTAGAGCGTCAGTGAATGAAATGTCACAGTTTTGCATTGTGCTTTGAGAACGTTAGCCTAGATTTATGCTTTCAGTTTGAATAGAAATCTTATACAGTATAGTTTGTCGATCTAAAATGGTAATTGTGCATTAACAGCTGTCAACCATGGCTGCGTTTCCCAAAAGCATTGTAAGCCTAAATTGATCATAGCTCCATAGGTGGCAATGGGTCTACGATGTACTTTGGCTTACGATGATTTTTGGAAACTCGGTACGCAAATGCGCGCTCTGAACTCATTTACACATCGCATTTCTTATTTTGGTCGCGCATGCGGACCTGCGGACCACTTATGTGCACCCCTGGGCATTACAGTCATTCTGCATTATATTATTTACACTTTTATTTGATCAAATATCACATTTATTAGTATATCAATAAATTACATTGTTGGGAAAGCTGGATTCCATTCAGTTTTAAAGCAATCATCATTTATTTTACCTAGTTGACCTCAGCCCACCAAGCCAGCTGATTAACCATATTAAACTATAGAGAGAGAGGATATATATAGACATATAGAGAGAGATTTTTTTTGGTGGATCTCAATCAACCCCAGTTTGTACTTTATCTGTGCTCAGCGTCGATTCCCTCATTAATCTGGGTATTAGCTGGCAGTGTTTTGCCAGTTTAGCTTTAGCCATTAGCTTAGACCCTAAGAATTCCCAGTCAGTCACAACCCTCGTTTTACCTTATATCAGCAGCATTAACAGCAGCCGCTGCTCCAAACCCACGGCCTGAGCTGCTCATCCATTCTTTACACAAATGAGATTATATGTGCGGATGCTGCTAATCCCAAAAGCATCTCATTTGATTGGATTAAGTGTAGTAATTGTCTGTGCTTTCAGCATGACTTGGCTGGAGCAGACTATGGATGACTGTGCTTGTACAGATAGGGGATGAGTACTCTGGACTTCTGTGGGGCCAAATGGATTTTTGTTGAGTTTGTGTGCCCGATGCCCAGGCTGATCTGAGTGCAGCATACTTTTGTGCCGCTTACGATCTGTGCTTGAGTGTGTGTGTGTGTGTGTATCTCTGCATTATTACATTCATTTGGCTGAAAATGACCCTGCGTTACCAGACAGTCTGATTGTGGCTTCTATTATAAGGAGTCAAGAGCTGTTAATAGAAATCGACTCTTCTTTTGAAAGCCCTTACATTAAGGGATATGCGTATACAAAGGCAGTTACATCTAAATGGACATTTATTATATGCAGTATTGACATGCACACAGTTTTCTCTGTAGCATTTTTGTAGAAAGCCAGTATGTACAGTAGGTGAGGTTTAGTTTTACTGATTTCTGAATTCTTGCTTACCTTTTCTTTATTTCTTTATAATGTTTACCCATAATGCGATGAAACATTTAGTTTGTGCTGTTTGTCCTTTTGCCACAGATGGCACTTAGGAGACTTAGGAAACATGATACCTGCCACAAGTTGAACCATTTACCAATAAACCAGGCTGTTCTGTTCCAGTGGATGGAGAAAAGGATTGTTCTTAGTGTGTAAACTGGATTACAAATCAAATGAATATCAAAAATAGACATTATTGGGGGGTATCTACTAAGAGTTGATTGTTTAAAGGGGTCATATGATGCGATTTCAATTTTTCCTTTCTCTTTGGAGTGTTACAAGCTCTTGGTGCATAAAGAAGATCTGTAAAGTTGCAAAGACTAAAGTCTCAAATCCAAAGAGATATTATTTATAAAAGTTAAGAATCAACCACGCCTACCTAAAACGGCTCGTTCTAACGAACGAGCCATGTGGGGACAACTGCCATGTCCCCACATGTCTACGTCACGATGTGGGAAGATTTGCATAATGCTGCCCAAATGTTCACGCAAAGAAAGAAGGCGTAACTTTGATTCTCGCTGTAGTATTGTTGCCGCCGCCGCCATGTCATGGAGATGCTGTGTTTCGTTGTGAAAGCGAAACTACTTTGTTTGGCCTTCCAAAAGAGGACGATATC